AGGTACAAAGGTGCCACAGGAAGTGTGGCTGAGTTTGCTGTTTCCACAGAGCTTTGCAAGACCTGTGGAATTAGCCACTGCTTGAGACAAGCCTTGGGTTGGAGGAGTTCAGTGTGACCCAGAGTCATTCTCACAGCTTCCAGACACAGCTGGAAGCAGGCAGAGTCTGTCCCACAGCAGAACCCATGGGTGATGCCTCCCTGGAGGAAGAGGAGAGGCCAAACCTTGTGTACTGTGTTCAGCTTTGGGCCCCTCACTGCCCAAAGGCCATTGAAGCACTGGAGAGAGTCCAGCCAAGGGCAATGAGAGCAGGAAAGGGCTGGGAAACCTGTGGTATGAGGAAGGGCTGAGGGAGTTGGGCTTGGGTAGCCTGGAGAAGAGGCTCAGGGGTCACCTCATGGCTCTCTGCAACTCCCTGCCAGGGCTGGAGAGAGGTGGGGGATGTGTGTCCTGCCAGGGCTGCAGGGAGAGGAGAGAGGGAATGGCCTTGAGCTGAGCCAGGGCAGAGTCAGAGGAGATGGTAGGGAAATGTTTTCCCTGTGAGGGTGTTCAGGCACTGGGATATTGCCCAGGGAGGTGGTGGAGTCACCATCCCTGGAGGCGTTTCAGAGGTGTCTGGATGTGGCACTGGAGGATCTGGTTTAGGGTTTAGAGGTTCCAGCAGTGACAGGCTAGTGGTTGGACTTGATGATCTTTGAGGTCTCTTCCAACCCTGATGACTGTGACTCTAGGAGCTCAAGCCCTGAGTGCTGTGGCCAAGCAGCAGAAAGCATTGCAGTGTGTCCCTGCCACCAGCTGCCCTGAGCCACGCACTGGCACCAGGGAGGAGAGGAAGGAACGGGAATGGCATTCAAGTTTCAGCACACAAGGGCCCATGTGTCCTCTGTGGCACAAAATGCTGCTATCAGTAGCACAGAAAGAGCACTTCCTTTCCCTCTGCCCTTGGCTGTGTTATCAGGCTCTGGGCTGGCCGTGGGTTTGCAGGCAGGGAAGGGCCTCCCTGCTCCCAAACTGGGGCAGTTTGCTCGGAAAGGCAGGAGGGAAGCGAGAAATTCCTTCCTGCATGAGCCCTGGAAGCAGTGCTGGGTCCTGGCCAGCATCCACCCTCCTCACATGGCCCTTTGGTCTCCACAAAGGTCACAATAGTCACTGCAGCTTTTTGTTTGGGGAATACCAGCTGGGATGTGCTGTCCTGTGTGTGCAGGGCTGAGCGTGGCTGTGCCAAGGAACTTCAATAGACCTTTACCTACAGCCCTCCAGCGACCAGCGAATCTCCAAGGAATTTGTGGAGGAAAAGACAGGCTCCAAATGCCCTGGGCTGGCTGCCCTGCACACTCAGCATCCTCCTGTGCCCTTCCCTGTGGGGGGACAGCACAGATAACTGCACACAGTTCTGGTGTCCCCAACATAAGGAGGACATGGAACTGTTGGAGCAAGGCCAGAGGAGCTGATAAGAGGACTGGAGCATCTTCCCTATGGAGACAGGCTGAGAGAGTTGGGGCTGTTTAGCACAGAGAAGAGAAGGTTGTGTGGAGACCTCAGAGCAATCTGCCAGGAGCTGAAGGGGCTCCAGGGAAGCTGCAGAGGGACCCTTGGGTAGGAACTTAGGGCAAGGAACAATGGGGATAAATTGAAAGAGGGAAAGTTAGATAGATCTTAGGCAGAAGTTTTTCCTATGAGGGTGGTGAGACACTGTCCCAGGTTGCCCAGGGAGGCTGTGGCTGCCCCAACCCTGGCAGTGTTCACAGCCAGGTTGGATGAGCCTTGAGCAACCTGCTCTGGTGGGAGGTGTCCCTGCCCAGGGCAGGGGTTGGGGCTGGATCATCTCTAAGCTCCATTCCAACCCCTTAACACACTATGGATCTATAAAAACTGCCTCCAAAGCTTTGGTGTGGAATATCCAGATGCAGCACAGCAGTGTGTCAAATCACAGGGCCAGGAAAACCACTGCTGCTGTCCCTGAAATCCAACACCTTCCCAGGGGACTGCAGCACCCAGCTGGGGGCACAGTGTGGGAGGACACCCCATGGCAACAGGAGGGGACAGGTCCCTGCTGTGACCTAACAGACCCTGACAGAGCAGCTCATCCCTGAGGGAATGATGAGACCCTGCACACCCCAGAGCACACAGCCAGTGACCCCCAGAGCTGCTGCTGTGCCCAAGGCACCACGCTCCAAGCCCTGAGAATGGCTCTGCCTGTGAAATGAGGACGATTTCCAGCCCACCTTTCAGCTGTGCTTTGCTATTTCAGAGCAAATGGCATTTAGTTATTATTGCTCTTGGAGAATTTCTGCTCTGTAAAGCCTCAAGAGTTCAGCCCCCACCCAGGTCTGGAGGTCTGAGGTGGGGCCAGCATTACACAGCTAATGCTCAAGAAAACTGGCTTAGTGTGGAGTCCTGAGGCTTGTGGAGTGGAAAAAAAAAACCCCAGCACATTCAGAGAATTTCTCTGCTCAGAGGCTACTCCCACTTCCTGCTGGGCAGGAAACCCCAGCACACAGCGCTGAAAATCAAGCAAGTCTCACACCCAACTGCAGCAGCGATAAGAGATTTGCTTCTGATCCACACCAGGCAGAAATGCAATAAACTCCCAATTTCTCAGAAGCCAAAAAGCCTGAATGTTTGCCAAGAGGCTAAAAATAAGCCAAAGAGGGCTCTATTTAGAGGCTCTCAGAAATGCCTCTGTCCTTGATTAAATAAACTGCCACTTCCAGAAAAGCACTATTTTCCAGCAGGTTGGGGGGAGCTTTGGCAGCAGGAGAATAAACATTCAGTCCCAACACTTTTAACACGTTTTAAAAGAAGCACTTCTTGGCTGGAGCTGTGCCAGATCCTCTGAGCAGCAGCAAACCAGGGGCTGCCTGGGCTGCAGCAGGAAGGATTTCCATTGCTGCCCTTGCACGTCCCCGTGTGGCTGCAGGAGTGACTTTGCTGCAGGGTTTGATGGAGTTTGCTTGGTCACATCCATTGCTTAGAGAGAAATGATGCCTTCCATGTAAATATGGACTAAATGGGCCCAGAGTTGTGGCTAGTTTTGGGCCCCTGGTGGCAGGAAGGATGTTGTGCTGGAGGATGTGGTTTAGGGGTTCCAGCAGTGAGGGGTTAATGGTTGGATTTGATGATCTTAGAGGTCTCCTCCAACCTTGATGGTTCTATGAGTCTATGATGAGGTGGTGGAGCATGTCCAGGGATGGGGATGGAGCTGGGGAAAGGACTAGAGCACAAATCCTGTGAGGAGAGGCTGAGGGAACTGGGGGTGTTTAGCCTGGAGAAGGTTCAGTGGTGACCTTTTCACTCTCTACAACAGGAGGTTGTGGCCAGGTGGGAATCAGTCTCTTTTCCCAGGCAACTAGTGACAGGAGAGGACATAGCCTCAAGCTGCACCAGAGGAGGTTTAGGTTAGACACTAGGATGAATTTCTTCACAGAAAGGGTGATTGGACACTGGAATGTGCTGCCCAGAGAGGTGGTGGAGTCACCATCCCTGGAGGCATTTAAGGACAGACTGGATGTGGCATGGTCTAGTTGCCATGGTGGTGTTAGGTCATAGGTTGGACTTGATGATCTCAGAGGTTTTTTCCAACCTGATCGATTCTGTGATGCTGTAAAAGTTCCTGGGATGTGGTCATGTGAAGGTTTGCAGGGCCCTGGGCAGGGGAGCAGCTCTGAGTGCCCTCAGGAGGAGCATCTCAGCCTCTCCAGCTGAGTCTTACAGTGACAATGACTTAACTCCTACAGGCTAAGGTTTGCACAAGGAAAACTCTGAAGATCCTTGGGTGATAGGAATTGTGCCAGAGCTCACTAAACACTGATTAACTTGCCAAGAACTCCCTGCTAAAGCTACATGACAAGAACACAATGTAGAACGAGAGCTCAGCCATGAACCACAGAAGAGAGAACTGATCTGGTTAAACAAAGCATTATTTTAATGTCAAGATTTTATAAATATATATTTACAAAAGGAAGATATCAATCCAAAGAGTTTCAAATGTACAGCTCCCATGTATTGCTAGAGCACAGGGAGGGGAACTATGCTAATGCAACCCCACAATTTACAATACTCATTACTCCAAGGGAAATTCTTCATTTAAAATACCTCAGCCAACATTGCCAGCATCCACCACTGTGAAAGCAGAAGCTCCTTGAAGAGAATCACGGGACAAGAAGGAACTGACCCTTTTTTGTACAGATGTTTAACTCAGAACACACCTCTCTGCCATCCCAGGGAACAACATCCCACCATCCTACAGAAGGCCCGCAGACTCTCTGGGGGGCACAGCTAAGGACAGCACACTGCATGGATTCCAGAGAGGTAAAATCCTGTTGGTCACATTCCCTGTGCCAAGGAAATTGCTGGTCACACTCCCCTACAGAGAGAACACTCCATGGCACCAACACACACTACAGGACACGCAATGGCCTCACTGTCCCAGGCCAGACAAGAGCTGCTCTCGCATCCCCTCACTGGAATTGTGCTTTCAGCCTGCCTTGGGAACTGGTTTTGTTTGTGCTACACTCTCCACACAGGCACAGGCCTGCAGGCAGAAGAGGGATTCCCACAAATCCACGGATTTAAGATGTAGATCTCTGAGAATGCTTCAGATCCAGAATTTGGAGCTGCTTAGAGGCCACATGAGACTTCAGTGATCTTCTCACTGTGCCAACAGCTCCATTTCCTTCAGATGTCACTGTGCCCATTCCAATCATGGACTGAGGGATGCAGGGCCAAAGGATCACTACCTAAACTGTAACAGAAGCAGCAATAACCTCCAAGAGCAAAACAGCCACATCCTCAACTGAAACTACCTCAGGCACCAACTGCTGGAGGACTTGGGAAATTAGTTCCCAGGCGACAGAAGGCTCAGCTTGTGCATAGCTTTTCTGAAGAATCTCCAGCAATTTTCTCTTCATTCATTCAGCAGTTCTAAACCTGTATGAAACCCACCTAGGATATGTTTAAATTGTACGTTGAAGCAAATTAATTATTGTAATCAAACTAAGGAAAGGACCTAAACACAAACTGCTAGTGGAAAATTGAATCGAAGTTGTCAGGAGTGTCAATCTCAAGTCTTGCCCAGTTTATTTACTCTTGATTCACACCTAGTGTGCAGCTCCCAAAATTCATGGTCAGAGCAACTATCTCTGTTGTTCACTGCTGTGAATCCAATCTGGCCTGAGGCTGCCACCACACTCAAGATGCTGTTTGGTCCTCTGTAGCCACAGTCTGCAGAAGGCAAAAAGGAAGAAGAAAACAAGGACAGAACAGTGTGAGTCACTGCTGTGCTTTGGGGGCAAAACATTCATTGCTGCCACAGACTGAGGCTGGTCTAGGCCTCTGGGAAACCACTGCCATGGTAAAAGCTCTCAGGAGCAAACTGAGCTACAGAATGGGATGAGCACAACACAGTGCCAGGAAAGGTGTATCACTGTTTGAGTTTCTGAGCACACTAATGACAGGAATCCCAGCAAATATTTGTGAACCTGTGGCAGCCAAACCTCCTCTCCTCAGAGTCATCTGTGTAACAGAGCCAGGAAACCAGTAAAGCAGTTAGTGACAGCCTAGAGGTGGAACAGGGATAGTTCCTACTGCTGCAGGGACCCATGGAAGGGAGAAAACCTATGCTGGGGCAGAAAAGGAGCTGTTGGGAAGAGCTGGATGGAAAGGAGAAAGCACATAAAGAGCAGTGGCAGCTCTTTACTCTAAGAGTCTTATTTTCAGTCATATTCCAGTGACTTGTGGCACTTGTCATGGCACCAGCAAGGAATATGAGCTCATGGCACACTGCAAATGGGACCTGATGCCAACGATGGGCAAGTGACTCTCTGATTTCACCAAGGGTTCAAATTCACACAGAAATAAGGTGTGACGGTCCCACTGCAGAACTCTAAATAACTGTAGTCACAGTGGGATGTTTTTCTAGGGTTTTCAAAGGCCTGGGAATCTTACCTGGCGCAGGAACTGCTTTCCAAGGTAGTTGGTGGCCATGCTTGTCAGGTTCTTTCTACTGCCAACTTTACACCTGATGTAGCCATACAGGTTGGCTCCCTGAAGCACCACCCCCATCACCACCACTGCCTACAACACAGGGAAAGAAAGTCATGATTTACAGCACCTTGTGGGAAGCCCAGTCCTTTCCTGAGCTGAGGAGGGAACTCACCAACCACTTCACTTTGAAAGAGAAGAGAGCACTGAAGGCAAATATCACCCAGATCATAGGACAGGTAATGAGGCCTAGCCAGAAAATTCGGGACTCTGCTTCAGATGAGGTTTTACTTCCTTGTGCTGACACCTAGAAACAGAAAGGGAATGGAAATAACAGGCTGCTTCATTGTATGTTATCATACAGTTATAGAATTGTAGGGGTTGGAATGGAGCTTAGAGCTCATCCAGCCCCAACCCCTGCCCTGGGCAGGGACACCTCCCACCAGAGCAGGTTGCTCAAGGCTCATCCAACCTGGCTGTGAACACTGCCAGGGTTGGGGCAGCCACAGCCTCCCTGGGCAACCTGGGACAGTGTCTCACCTCCCTCACAGGGAAAACTTCTGCCTAAGATCTAGTCTAAATTTCCCTTTCAATTTATCCCCATTACTTATTGTCCTTTCGCTCCAGTTCCTAACATTTCTTCCCAATATCCCATCTAACCCTGCCCTCTGGCAGTGGGAAGTCACTCCCCCTTGTCCTGTCAGTAGGATAAGGACCAAAAGAGGCAAATATGTGCCATGTTGTGAGGTGTCTGACCCATAGGATACCAGAGATGCCATCAGGAACAGCAACAGCCATGACCAGAGCTCCATGTTTCTTCCTACTTCCAACAGTTTTCCTTAGAGGATGAAAGGTGTTCCAGGCTCACACCAGGAAACTTACAGGATACTGACATGACATGGGAACCTTCACTGCACTTCATGTGGAAGTTTCAGGTTACTTACATTAAGCCAGATCAATACACTAAGAGAACTCTTAAGTAACTCAACAATCAAGAAGCTCATCCAGAAGCCAAAATGAAACAAACCTTTGGTTACACATCTGTGGCTGGAAGGGAATGTCCAATCTACCTTCCCAGGGGTCTCAAAAACCAGAAACAATTAAAAGATGAAGAAGAAAATCAGAAGAAATTTACCTTCCTGGCTTCAAACACCCAGTGACTCCTCCCATCATCATCCACCTGGTTCCACCAGCGAAGGCCAACCATGAGTCTCCCTGTGACATTCTGGAACAGAAGCAAAGCCAATGAGCTTTGGGTCTTCTTCTCAAAGAAACCTTTAGGCCAAGTGCAGCTGCCTGGGTTGGTGTTTTCCATGGTGCTTGTTTGCCTCCCATTTGGGAAAGCAACAGTACATGCTTATGTACATGACAGTGTGTTCTCTATGATGTCCAGGGAAATGCCAAATTCCTGTGAGGCAAATTTCCGGTGATTCCAAAGTGATCTGATAACAAATCCTGTGCTACCTCAAACCAAAGTCTAATCTAAGTCCTCCAACTGTTTACCAAAAGGAAGCCAAATACACAGAGATTTCAGAGTTATGATGTCCTAACACTTTCCAATCCCTCGCAGAACTTGAGGGACTTTTGGGTGTTATTTTGTGGGAAAGGCACAAAGGAGTTACTTTTTTTGAGACAAGAATATCTCTGTTCAATCATTCTTATACAGTAACATTAAGCTTACAAAAAGCATAAGAACTTACCTTTACAGCCCAAAAGTCACAGGACAAGAGGAGGATAATGGTCACCATGCAGGCAATAAAGCTGCTGGTTAAGAGCTCACAGAGCAGATAGACAACTATCGCACTGACTCGGAAGAACAGGTGGAAAAATGATGCCACTGGGTGCCTGGAATGAAGCACAGGACAGTCACAGCTTCTTCCCACACATGACAGTGCCCAGAGACCTCCCAGCAACTCCCAGGATAAGGATCAGCATTGGAACACGAATCCAATGTGCAACAACCTCTGGAAATATAGGAAATGAGCTGCCCAGAAGCTCAGCATGAGGCAGACACATCCTGCAGGCTGAGAGGTCCCATGTGCAGGCAGGATTTGGGTGGGAGGGCACAGGCAGTTTTACCTGGTGTGCAGTCTATGGTAATTGTTCTGGGGTGAATTTAAAGAGCTTCTGACAGAGGAAAAATCCCTCTGAAGGAGAGATCACACATCTCAGCACAGCAATCTTACTCTTCTTTCTGATCTCACAGAATCCCAGAAGGGTTTGGATTGGAAGGGACCTTAGAGACCATCCAGTCCCATCCCCTGCCATGGGCAGGGACAACTTCCACTGGACCAGGGTGCTCAGATTTCCTGCAGTTTGCAGGTCTGAGATGTGTGGTGCAGAGCTGAGGTCAGCACAGCACGAGGGGATGGACACTGCTCCATGGGGGAATTTGGGCAGGGCAAGGAAAGGGGCAGCTGGACTAACTAGGCCAGTGCAGGGCAGCATAGAACATACTCAGGAATGAAGAGTAGGGAAGAGATAATGGACTAGCCCAGAACCAGCACTTGATGTGGTGAGAACCCCCTGTAACACAGAGCTGTTGTATCCAAGTAGATTCCACACATAGATTAAGTGTGAGGACACCCTGAAATGCCAAGGCACAGATCCACAAACTCAAACTGAGCCTCTGAACTGGAGCTCTCAGTTATCCAGAAATTACTTTCCATTACTTCCAAATAAAGAAAGAAGGTGTTTGCCATTACATACTTTGATGCAATGTGACACAATTCCTTCCTCATGCTTCTGCCTAGAATTCATCCAGAAACTCTCTCCATGGCCACTGACCTTATTTTTGACTTCTTTGATCTCCTGGATAAATCATCATCTGCATCAAATAGAGACACATCTTCAATGTCATCACTGCTGTCCTGAAGTGAGGAACAGAGAGTAACATCAGAACAATGAGCCACTTTTCAACTTCAAGCAGAGACAGTTTTGATTACCCAGAAAATCAGAGGCATCTCAGGACCAAAATGAATTTGGGAAGAATGTGAAGATTTAAACACATACAAACAAAAAAAATGCACAGAATCACAGGATCTCCTGAGTTGGAAGAGACTCACAAGGATCATCCAGTCCAGCTCCTGCACAGGACATTCCTGAGCATCCCACCCTGTGCCTGAGAACATTCTGTCCAGCCCAGCACAGCTTGGGATGGCAAAGTGCTGTGTGCCCACAATGCGGGGCCCTGCGGCGGCTGCTGCCATCCCCCAGTCCTGCTCCCACATCCCAGGCCCCCATTCACATCCCGATCCCAATCCCAGTTCCATGCCCAGGCCCTAGCTCAGATCCCTATCCCTACCCCACTCCCAGCCCCACTCCCTACCCTTATCCCTTTCCTTCTCCTTCTACCGATTCTTAGACTTGATCCCAGTCCTACCCCAATCCCTATCCCTACCCTTCTCATGATCCCTACCCCTATTCCTCTCCCTATCCCCAATCCCCATCCTGAACCCTTATCCCGACCCCTATTGCAATCTCTACCCAATTTGAATCCCTATCCCTACCTCTACCCCAATCCCAATTCTAATTCCAACCCCTATCCTATCCCAATCCCTATCCACATCCTTATCCCTATCCGTATCCCTATCCCAGTCCAAATCCCTATCCCTGCCTCAATCCAATTCTAATTCCAATCCCTATCCCTGCCTCAATCCCTATCCCAGTTCCAATCCCTATCCCTGCCCCTATCCCAGTCACAATACCTATCCCAGTTCCAATCCCTATCCCTGCCCCTATCCCAGTCCCAGGTGCTATCCCTGCCCCTATCCCTATCCCTGCCCCATCCCTATCCCTACCCCAGTCCCACTCCCTATCCCAGTCCC